TTGGTGCAATTATTTAATAAATGTATGGAAGAGGGTAAGGTACCTAGGGATTGGCAGAGAGCATGCATAGTTCCTTTGTATAAAGGCAAAGGGGATAAAAGAGAGTGCAAAAATTATAGGGGGATAAGTTTGTTGAGTGTACCTGGTAAAGTGTATGGTAGAGTTATAATTGAAAGAATTAAGAGTAAGACGGAGAATAGGATAGCAGATGAACAAGGAGGCTTTAGGAAAGGTAGGGGGTGTGTGGACCAGGTGTTTACAGTGAAACATATAAGTGAACAGTATTTAGATAAGGCTAAAGAGGTCTTTGTGGCATTTATGGATTTGGAAAAGGCGTATGACAGGGTGGATAGGGGGGCAATGTGGCAGATGTTGCAAGTGTATGGTGTAGGAGGTAGGTTACTGAAAGCAGTGAAGAGTTTTTACGAGGATAGTGAGGCTCAAGTTAGAGTATGTAGGAAAGAAGGAAATTTTTTCCCAGTAAAAGTAGGCCTTAGACAAGGATGTGTGATGTCACCGTGGTTGTTTAATATATTTAGATGGGGTTGTAAGAGAAGTAAATGCGAGGGTCTTGGCAAGAGGCGTGGAGTTAAAAGATAAAGAATCACACACAAAGTGGGAGTTGTCACAGCTGCTCTTTGCTGATGACACTGTGCTCTTGGGAGATTCTGAAGAGAAGTTGCAGAGATTGGTGGATGAATTTGGTAGGGTGTGCAAAAGAAGAAAATTAAAGGTGAATACAGGAAAGAGTAAGGTTATGAGGATAACAAAAAGATTAGGTGATGAAAGATTGAATATCAGATTGGAGGGAGAGAGTATGGAGGAGGTGAACGTATTCAGATATTTGGGAGTGGACGTGTCAGCGGATGGGTCTATGAAAGATGAGGTGAATCATAGAATTGATGAGGGAAAAAGAGTGAGTGGTGCACTTAAGAGTCTGTGGAGACAAAGAACTTTGTCCTTGGAGGCAAAGAGGGGAATGTATGAGAGTATAGTTTTACCAACGCTCTTATATGGGTGTGAAGCGTGGGTGATGAATGTTGCAGCGAGGAGAAGGCTGGAGGCAGTGGAGATGTCATGTCTGAGGGCAATGTGTGGTGTGAATATAATGCAGAGAATTCGTAGTTTGGAAGTTAGGAGGAGGTGCGGGATTACCAAAACTGTTGTCCAGAGGGCTGAGGAAGGGTTGTTGAGGTGGTTCGGACATGTAGAGAGAATGGAGCGAAACAGAATGACTTCAAGAGTGTATCAGTCTGTAGTGGAAGGAAGGCGGGGTAGGGGTCGGCCTAGGAAGGGTTGGAGGGAGGGGGTAAAGGAGGTTTTGTGTGCGAGGGGCTTGGACTTCCAGCAGGCATGCGTGAGCGTGTTTGATAGGAGTGAATGGAGACAAATGGTTTTTAATACTTGACGTGCTGTTGGAGTGTGAGCAAAGTAACATTTATGAAGGGATTCAGGGAAACCGGCAGGCCGGACTTGAGTCCTGGAGATGGGAAGTACAGTGCCTGCACTCTGAAGGAGGGGTGTTAATGTTGCAGTTTAAAAACTGTAGTGTAAAGCACCCTTCTGGCAAGACAGTGATGGAGTGAATGATGGTGAAAGTTTTTCTTTTTCGGGCCACCCTGCCTTGGTGGGAATCGGCCGGTGTGATAATAAAATAAAAATATATATATATATATATATATATATATATATATATATATATATATATATATATATATATATATATATATATATATATATATATAAAGAGAGAGAGAGAGAGAGAGAGAGAGAGAGAGGAGAGAGAGAGAGAGAGAGAGAGAGAGAGAGAGAGAGAGAGAGAGAGAGAGAGAGAGAGAGAGAGAGAGAGAGAGAGAGAGAAAGAAAGAGAGAGAGAGAGAGAGAGAGAGAGAGAGAGAGAGAGAGAGAGAGAGAGAGAGAGAGAGAGAGAGAGAGAGAGAGAGAGAGAGAGAGAGAGAGAGAGAGAGAGAGAGAGAGAGAGAGAGAGAGAGAGAGAGAGAGAGAGAGAGACAGACAGAGAGAGAGACAGAGAGAGAGAGAGAGAGAGAGAGAGAGAGAGAGAGAGAGAGAGAGAGAGAGAGAGAGAGAGAGAGAGAGAGAGAGAGAGAGAGAGAGAGAGAGAGAGAGAGAGGTACCACCTCCAGAACTGGACTGGGGACCCTCATCCTCATAGAAGAGAATAAACGTATTTCAGGGGAAAACTCAAGATTCTTCCCTGAGATGTCATTGACATTCGTTCAAGTATTCAACTAATTTTTAGAGACATTAATTATCAAGTTGCAGTTAGCAGTTTCTTCCATTGTTTTGTAAATGTTTTCCAGCTTCTGTTGGTCTGCCACACTTTCAGGCAGCTCTGCTATTTCTTCCGTTCAGTCCTCCCTGATTCTTCAGCAATATTCTTCGGGTTCCTCACTGTCAAGTTCCATTAGCGTGCCTTGCCAATGCTTTTAAATATATTTTTCTTTTCCTTTATGACGTTGTGTAGTAATTCTGATTTACTTTCGACCATTAATGCTATATCATTTTGGACCTAACTTTAATGTTTCCGCTAGAGTGTGTCCTCAGCGAGGAAGAGCTATCTTTTTTGATCTAGGAAACATTTAATAATATATTTGTTACAGGAAAATGTTCATTTTACGAGTCCAAAAGCGAGTTTCTGCAGACCATTCTGTCAATGATCAGTCAGAAGGACAGTCCACTCGTGCCAGCTATAAACAAGAGGTAAACTTTAACACCTGGCAATTTCTCACTCAAAGTTGAATATTAATAAAATAAAATCCTATTTTATGACTCCCACAAACACAGCTCAGTGAATACAACACGGCGAGTATACTCACGCACACATACACACACACACACACACACACACACACACACACACACACACACATACACACACACACACACACACACACACACACACACACATACACACACACACACACACACACACACACAAGGTGGACAGGGACAGGATGTTCCCCAGCCTTCAGCAGTCCAAAACTCAAGGAATATGACTCTCTTGAAGATGGACAGTGGTTGCAAGCCTCACTTCTGGTCAGGCTTGGAGGACTGGGGGTACACAGATCCTCCCAGATTTCTCTACCAGCTTTCCTATCCTCTTCCATAGCATCAAACGAGTTGATAAGACAAATTCTTCCTGATAACCTCAGTGACTCAGCAGGAATACAGGACTCTAGCTATGCCAGTGCCACCACTGAATGGGAGACTCTTGCTTCTCCAGCAGCAAACCCTAGTGCAGCACTGGCTCACAGTCAAGCTGGGATGGCCCGATCGCTGAAAAGGTGCTTGCCACCATGCTCAGGACTGCAACATCAGATAGGGAGACTGCCCATTTCCAGCCTGTGAGCACACCTCACTCCAGGGACTTCCTCCATGCAGTTCCCATATAGGCAATGAGAACGCGACTCGACCCTAAGACCCTCCATATTGCAGTGGCTCTGCATCTTGCTGCCCCAATTCACACAGAATATACGTGTATTTGCAGCGAAGCGCAAGCAGACCAGTACGGTCTACATGATCTTAACTGTTCCAAAACCAAGGTGTGGCATGCAAGACAATGAGGTCAACGACATCATAAAGAGAACCCTTGCTACAGCTGGATGCCCAGCCGAGAGGGAGCCCCGATCACTAGAAGCCAACAATACTCACAACCCAGCAAACCGCCCCGACGAAATCACCATCTATCCTTGGAAGAATGGCAAACTCTTGGCATGGGACTATACCTGTGTGTCCACACTGGCTGCCAACTATATCCATCACGGTGTCGAGCGACAGGGAGGAGCTGCTGGCCACAGGGAGGAGTACAAGATAAGCAAGTACAGGGACATAAGCCAACAGTATCAATTTGTCCCAGTGGGATCAGAGACCTTGGGATCATGGGGAAAAAAATGCCATACGTTTCCTTAAAGAGTTGGGCTCCAGACTCATCGTCACCACCAGGGACCCAAGGGCAGCCACTTTCATGTTCCAGCGACTCAGCATGGCCATCCAGAGGGGAAATGCTTGCTGCATACTTGGCTCGCGTCCGGCTTCGGAAAAGCTGGAGGAAATTCATGAGCTTTAACACATTGTACCATTGTATTCATGTTTGTGTATTCTGTAAATGCGTTCTGTTTATTAATAAATGTTCACATAGAATATAAAATATAGGGGGTGGTAGGAGAAGAAAATATTCAAACAGCTCCAGGGAGAACCGTGAGTTTTCCCTGAGGTACGTTTATTGTCTTTGAGGATGAGGGTCCCCAATCCAGGTGGTACTTCCCTATATATGAAAAAATTATATATATATTATATATATATATATATATATATATATATATATATATATATATATATATATATATATATATATATATATATATATATATATATAATACATACATACATATATATATATATATATATATATATTTTATATATATATATATATATATATATATATATATATATATATATATATATATATGTATGTATATATATATGTCGTGCCGAATAGGCAGAACTTGCAATCTTGGCTTAAATAGCAACGCTCATCTTGCCATATAGGACAAGTGAAAATTTGTGTATGCAATAATTTCGCCAAAATCATTCTGAACCTAACGAAAAAAATATATTTGATTGTGTTTGTTTAGTACTAAATTATTGTAAATATATTTAAAATATATTTAGTTGGGTTAGACTAAAATAAATTGCTCTTGTTATAATTAGGTTAGGTAAGTTTTCTAAGATTCTTTTGGTGCAAAATTAAATTTTTTTACATTAACATTAATGAAAAAATATATCTTTAAAGGTATAAGAGAAAATTTTAGAAAGGTCTTAATTTTAAATGAGTTCTTGCTAATTGACTAGTTTTACATATTCGGCACGGCAGCGATTCTCCCTGAACATCTTAGGGACAAGATTGGAGTCCAGGACCAAAAATTCATTGACGGAGCAATGATCTGGGATAATCTAACGGGCTCTGGAGCCAGACCTGCTCCCCCCAACAACTACAAACAATCGCACTGGGATGGTCCAATAGTGGAAAATATAGCCTCAACGATGCTTCAGAGTGTGTCAGGGAAGGATAGAGCCCGCCTCCTGGCAGTGAGAGCACCTCATGCAGGGGACTTTCTGTTGGCTGTTCCCAAGTCCAGCCTTGGCACACGCCTCGACCCACTGACCATCCGCATCGGTGTTGCTCTTCGACTTGCCGCCCATATTCTCGCCGAACACAGGTGTATTTGTGGCAGTGAAGCAGCAGACCGATTCGGGTACCATGGTCTTGTGTGCCGTAAATCCGAGGGAAAGATTGCAAGACATGAGGAGGTTAATAACATTATCAAGAGGAGCCTCACAACAGCTGGATTCCCAGCAGTATGGGAACCACCCCAACTATGCAGATCTGATGGCAGCCAGAAGCGTCCAGATGGTATCACCCATCAAGCCTGGACAGATGAGAAGCAGGTGGTGTAGGACTATACATGTGCATCTACCTTGGCTGATACCTATCTCCAATACACCAAGGAGGAAGGAGGGGCAGCTGCCAGCTTCAGGAAGTCCCGAAAGTCAAGAAAATATGGAGAACTTGCCCATCATTATATGTTTGTTCCCATAGGCTCAGAGACCCTTGGCTCATGGGGAAAGAGTGCATCTAAATTCCTTAAGGAGCTGGGAAAAAGACTCATCAGGGTAACTAGGGATCCCAGGCAGCTAGTTTTCTGTTCCAGCGGCTCAGTGCGGCTGTTCAAAGGGGTAATGCCTGCTGTATTTTGGGCACACGCCCCAGCTCTGAGGAGCTGGATGAGATTTTCGCCTTATAATAGGTGATACACACGTAACAACATGTACCTTATATGCCACTTTTATATCAACAATGTATCTCTTAAATCTTCTGTACCATATTATGTAATAAAATATTCCTATTGGTAAAAAAAAATATATATTAAAAGATGGGGTGGTAGGGGACGGCTTCAGGAAGAAATCCAAATATTCTTCCTTGAAGCCTTTTTATCCACTTCTCCGAGGCTGTGGGTCCCACAATTTACACCAGAGATGGACCCCATCCTATATATAATATATATATATATATATATATATATATATATATATATATATAATATATATATATATATATATATATATATATATATATATATATAATATATATATATATATATATAAAATATATATATATATATATATAAAATATATATATATATATATAATATAATATAATATAATTAGTGACTCGAAGCTAGTATGCACACAATACATAGTGGAGAATGGTGTCGTGCCTATGTTCTGGGTATGTAGCTCTGAATCGTGGTTTGGAACGGTATGCAGTTGATGATAGGGAGGGGAAGGTCACAGGTGGACGTGACAGTTCACACACTCAATAGACTGTGACCTCAACACAAGTAGGGATTCTGAGGAACGGAGGTAGTGGGATCATCTGACCACCACAACACTTGTAAAGCGGTTGAATCGCCAGTAGAGGACCACCATGAATGATGGTTCTCTAGTGGCGATTCAGCCGCTGGTGTGTAGCTGATTGCAAATCGGCTACGAGTGGAAAGGGAACCAGTGTAGTTACAGATGCCGTATTGAATGTAAGATCTTTTCAAAATCATTATTGTCCCTCTTATCTCGCCTGTGTCAGATAACCCGAGCTGACAATCAAGCGTAAAATAAAGGAACACAAAATTATACACCAATCTGCAAATCACTCACATGATAGGCGTGTTGCCTTTAAAAGAAAAGGTGAGGACTTAAATGATGACATTACACTGTCAAAGTCCAAATCAGGTCAGGAAGAAATAGCGAAAAAGCCTAAATCAGAGTGCAGTGCTTGTTTAAACCAAATTAACCCAAACACACAAATTATTCAGTAGCGAAATGAATACTTATAAATTTGATGGTAGCCGAAAGCCAAGTGACCGAGAACTAGTCTGAGGGACTAATGTCACCTCCCACAGGGTGAAGAAGGGAGGGGGTAGCAGAAACTGTGCCCACACCTAACAGGATAAGCATACTGCCCAACAAACCACCCCACCATTCATTCATACTTCCACCACTCCTATCTAATGAACTTTTTCCTTACGAAGTAAGGAGACAGGTCTTATGACCCAATCAGGCCACCAAAGAAGAGTGAGCAATGAATAGGGAGAGCTGTTAGGTGCAGCTGATGGGGTGCGGGTAGAGAAGAAGAGAGGTACCATGCAGAGGCCCAACCAGACCACCAAGAGTTACAGGAAATGAGACAATAGCTATGTAGAAACGGGACCCAGAGACATGGAGGAAAAGACAGTGGGAGAAGGAGGAGAGGGAAAGGTCAGTCTTTATTCATAGGCTTCAGGAGAGTGAAGGGAGGACATATATTGAAAGACAGCAGAAGGAAAAATAAACTATTAAAATCATCGAACAAATAGGTGAGGACGACACAATTGAGATAATAAATTTTGAGAATAGGGGAGTACTCGAGGGAGAGAAATCGGCCGATCAAACTGATTTTCAAGGCAGAAAAAGTCAGGAACAGAACCCTGCAGGAGAAACCACGGTTGAAGGAATTGTTAACACACAAGAGGGTGTCCCTAGACTGCAACAGAGAGAGAACGGAACAGCAGCAGCTGAGGGAGCTAGAAAGAGACTGAAAGGGGCTAGAAAGAGACTGACAGTCAGCGCAACAGGCATGAGCAACATCCTGTATGAAGTTCAGTGGGACAGAACTGGCAGCGAAATCAGTAAATGAGATGATGGAATATGTGACAACAATTTGCAAGCAGCAGAGGAAAGGTTTGTACTTAAGGACAACAGGCAACGAGAATGCCAGGACGAGCCCTTCGTTCAGCCAGAATTGCAGAGAGAGAATGGAAGAAGTATAGAATGCGTAGAACAGAGGAGAATAAGGAGAGCAGTCGAAGAGCCAGAGATGACTATGCACAGGTGAGGAACGAATCCCAGCGACAATACGAAAAAGACAGCAGCGAAAGCCAAGTCCCACCCAAAGATGTTAAACAGCCACAGCAGGAGGAAAACAACTGTAAAGGATCAGGTAATCAGGCTGAAGAAGGAAGGAGAGGAGCTCTCAAGAAATGATTGAGAAGTATGTGAGGAACTCAACACGAGATTTAAAGAAGTATTCACAGTGGAGACAGAATGGAATCCAGAAACGCATAGTGGTGGGGTACTCCAAGAGCTGGACAATACACACAACCGAGGAGGTAGTGATTAGGCTACTAATCGAACTAGATACCTCGAAGACGATGGGGCCAGATAACATCTCTCCATGGTTACTGAGACATGGAGCAGAGCGCTCTGTGCACCACTAAAAACAATCAACACATCTATATAACAGGGCGACTACTTGAAGTATGGAAGACCGCAAATGTAGTCCCATTTTTTTAAAAAAGTAGACAGACATGCAGCATTAAACTACAGACCAGGATCACTGACATGTATAGTATGCAGAGTCATAGAGATGATTATTAAGAGAAGAGTGGTGGAACACCTAGAAAAGAATGAACCTTTCAGCGACAACCATCACGGATTTAGGGACGGGAAAGCCTGTGTCACAAACCTTCTGGAGTTCTATGACAAGGTGACAGCAGAAAGACAAAAGAGAGGAGTGGGAAGATTGCATTCTCTTGGACTGAAAAAAAAAATAAAAGGCTTTTGAGACAGTTCCACACAAGAGATTAGTGCAAAAGCTGGAGGACCAGGCAAGTATAACAGGGAAAGCACTGCAGTGGATCAGAATATCTGACAGGAAGACAACAAAGAGTCTTGGTAGGTGACAAGGTGTCGGAATGGGGCCTGTGACAAGAGGAGTTCCACTGGGGTCAGTTCTGGGACTGATACTGTTTCTGGCATATATGAATGACATGACGGAAGGAAAGCACTTAGAAGTGTCACTGTTTGCAGACGATGTGAAATTGATGAGAATTCAATCTCTAGAGAACCAGGCAGGACTACAGAGATCTGGACAGGCTACAGGCCTGGTCTCGCAACTGGCTCCTAGAATTCGACCCCGCCAAGTGCAAAGTCATGAATATCGGGGAAAGGCAAAGAAGACCACAGACAGAATGCAGCCTAGGGGGCCAAATACTACAAACCTCACTCAAAGAAAAAGATCTAATGGTGAGTATAATACCAAACATATCTCACGATGCGCACACAACCAAATAACTGCTGCAGCAAATGGGCGACTAGCAAACGTGAGAATAACTTTCCGACATCTCAGTAAGGAGTCGTTCAGGACTCACGTCTGGCCTATATTGGAGTATGCAGCACCAGTTTGGAACTCACATCTAGGCAAGCTAAGGGGTATGTCCTACGAGGACAGGTTAAGGGAAACTTATCTGACGACACTGAAGGACAGGAGAGACAAAATATAAAATACCGAGAAGAATCGAAAAGATGGACAGAGATAAGATGTTCCAGAGATGGGGGCACAGCCATAGGCGTTCAAATATTGGAAGCTGAAGACTAAGATGAGCCAGAGATGTCAGAAAGTATTTTTTCAGTCACAGAGTTGTAAGGAAGTGGAATAGTCTGGGAAGTGAGGTGATGGAGGCAGGATCCATAAATAGCATGCAAAGTCATGGAGAAGATTGTCAGGAGGAGAGTGGTGGAGCAACTGGAACGGAACAAAAGTATAAATGACAACCAGCACCGGTTCATGGAAGGCAAATCCTGTGTCACAAACCTTCTGGAGTTTCATGATAAGGTAACAGAAGTAAGAGACGAGAGAGAGGGGTGGTTTGATTGCATCTTCTTGGAGTGCAGGAAGGCCTTCGGCACAGTTCCTCACAAGAGATCAGTGCAGAAACTAGAGTATCAGGCGCGTATAACGGGAAGGGCACTTCAATGGATCAGAGAATACCTGACAGGGAGGTAACAACGAGTCATGGTACGTGATGAGGTACCACAGTGGGCACCTGTGATGAGCGGGGTCCCATTGGGGTCGGTTCTAGGACCAGTGCTATTTTTGGTGTAT